CCCTCTTGTGAGATACCCACACAAATTTGGAGGCCACTGAGCCTCCAGACTGGGAGTCAGTTGGCCCCAGGCTTTAAAAGAGGGACTCAGAGCTATCCTTGGTGAGTATAGAGAGGAACAAACTGAGAAACAGAAAATGTGTGAAGGAGAAATTTATCAAATGAAATTATGTTTACTGCGTGATCTCACCTTATTACTGGCTCATTAAAATTTACAGTTCATTGGTAAGATTGGATTTGTTTGGGTATACTGTGAAGAAACAGGGTTATCTGCATTAACACAAGGCAGAGTCAGAGCCACAGAGACACTGGGTTACTGTTTTTGGGTTTGGTAACTTGGAATGTCACAAGTGCCTTTTCATAGGGCACTGTCAGGACACCATGGGGGTGGAGGGGAGGGAGGCTGAAGCCAGACTGGGTTGAGGAGATGGGAAGTTGGGAAATGGTGACAGGGGAGACTGATTTGGGGACGTTTGGATGATAAGCCAAGAGGAGAGGGCTCTTTTTTTTTTTTTAAAGAATAGATTAAGCTTGAACATCTTTTCTCCATTAGATGTACATATTTTGGGGTTTCTGCCCACAGCCTTTTTAAGGACACTGCCCTGGCCCACAGCCCCTGCTGAATCGCATGAGACTGTTTTTCCTCTGACTCTACGTGACCGTGAAGGGGTAGCTGATTCGCAAGTGACCTATGCATTGTGTGATCTGTCTCAGAATATAAGCCATGTCCATTTGAGTTTTCCTCTAGGAATCTGAATTAAAAGACACAGTTTCCAGTGAGCTGTGGATAGTAAATACAAAACCCCTGGGCCACTCTAGGCCACATGCAAGAGGAAGTGAAACCCTCAGAGAGATGTGGAAGAGAGAGAGGCTGGTCTCCAGAACTGAATCGGTTTCTGCTCTATGGCCCTACCAGAACCCTCTCTCCATTTCCTCTTGCTCATATTGGTTTGAAGGGATTTCAGCTTCTCTCAGATGAAAGGACCCTGATTGGAGCAATCTTCCTTGGGTCTCCTTGTTCTCAGCCCCTCCCTGCTCTGATGTGTTGTACAGGTAAATAGCAGGGTGAGTATCTGCGTGCTGTCTTCACCATGTTATTGACCACATCCTGCACAATAAAGTGTCAACTCAGTGAGCCCTTCACAGCCTGCCAGGATGTGGCCGCCTCCTGCCTTTCCAAACATCCCCCTGCCATTTTCTAATGTGAACTCCTCCAGCCAAACTGGATAGGAACACCTATCCCCCCAACACCCCCTATGTCAGCACTCTTGTGCCTAGATCACCGCATCCTATTTGCTTGTGATCTGTGCCCCTTCTATTCAGAGTGTGGCCTCACTGCAGCACGGGTGGGGCATCACCCAGGCCCCTCTCCAGACATCCTGACTCAACCTGACATCCCAGGGTGATTGGAAGCCACATGCAAATTTGAGAAGCCTGGTCTATGCTGGCTGTGTAAATCTCTCTCCTGCTTTAGGGCCCAGCCTCGGGGCTAACTGCCCCACTCTATTTTCCTGACCCTATAGTGATTGTTCACTTCAACCTGAACACCTGTAGCATGGTCTGAAACCAACAACAGCTTTCCTGAGTGCTTGCTGTGAACTGGTCACTAGAGGAGGCACTTGTATGTATGTGCCACCTAATTTATCCCTCAGGAAAATTCTATGAGGCATTGTTACCCCCATCTTACAGATAAAGGAACCGACTTGGACTAACTCACTATGTTCAAACAGCTAGTGTCAGAAACAGCATTCGAACTTAGATCTTTCTGATTCTGAGCCCACAAAACCTATCATGTATCCTTATAGTAATAAGACTGACTAAAACCAGACATACTAGTGCATACAAATCCACATGAATACTTCAGAGTATTAACTATGATGACCTGTCATTACCATTTTGCAAAGTACAGCTATGAAATTACCTATAGAGGAAATTAACAATTTCAATTACGCTGATTTCTTTACAGACAAACCATGCATAGCCTGTGCTACTTCTCTGATACTTGATGTTTTCACCTTTTGAAGACTGAACATCTCATCCATGTAATTTTTGTAAGGCTTCTATAAAGCAGAAACTCTTTAAATTTTAAAATATCTACTACTTAAAAATGCCTCAGTGCTTTACACACACTAAAGACACAATAAATATGTATTGCACTCGTTTGATTCTCACAACAATTGTGTCCTCGTCATCCCTAACTGATCCCTGATAGCATCTCCCAAACTGAATTCCTGATCTTTCCACCTGCTCCAGCCTCAGCTCTCCCTCTGTTGGTACCAATTTTATCCTTCCAAGGCCCAAGCCCTAAAGTCACCTTTGACTCTCTGATTCTCTCGCACCCCTCCCAATCTGCCAGGGAGTCCTGTTGACTTAAAATATATGCTTCTGCTGCTGATGCATGGTCCCAGCCACAATTACTTCGTACCTGGTGTATTAGTGTTCCAGGGCTGCTGTGACAAAGCCGATTAACCCCAGAAATTTACTGTCACACTTCTGAAGGCTAGAAGTCTAGTCCCAGCAGGTTTGCTTCCTCCTGAGAGCTGTGAAGGAAGGGTGTGTCCCAGGCCTTGCTCTCTGGCTTGCCCACAGCCATCTCTTCCCTGTGTGTTTCCACGCCCACTAAGTTCCATTTATTAAGGTGCCCGTCATATTGGATCAAGGCCCACCCTAAAAACCTCACCATAATTGAGGTACCTGTAAAGACCCTATCTCCAGAGTCACATTCTGAGGTACTGGGGATTATGACTTCAGCATATTGGGGTGGGGAACACAATTCAACATGTAACACCTGGATTCCTGTGGAAACTCCTTCCCTGGTCTCTCTACTTCTCTTGTGCCCTAGAGCCCATTCTCCACACAGTAGCCAGAGTTACCTTTTCTTTAAATGGAAGTGAGATCCTATTTCTCTTTTTGCTTAAGATCCCTCACACACTGTGCTTCAGCCTGGGCAGGGGCTTGATCACAGTCCTTGTCATGCCAGACAAGGGTCCATCTTGTACTGTTTGTATATAGTATTTCCTCTGTCTGGAATATTTGTCTCTCAGATATTGGCATGTCTTGTCCTCATCTCCTTCAAGTGTTCAAATGTTTCTGACTCAATGAGGCCTTCCCTGAATTCCTTATATGAAATTGCATCTCCCACCCGAGCATTCCTTATGGCCCTCTTATGCTTTATTGTTCTCCACAAGAGTTGTCACTTTCTGGTATCCTACGTTATATAGTACACTTTCATATTTTGTTTGTTGTCCTCCTCCATTTGAATGTGGCTCACTCAGTGAGGTTTGTTCTCTGTTGCATCCCCAGCGTCTAAAACAATGTCTCCTTGCTGGCAGTCAATACACATGTATAGTATGCATAAAAGAATTACCATTTTATAAGTGTTAAAACTAGAGAACAGAGAAGTTACGCACCTTTCAAGGTTACACAGTGAGTTGGTAGAGCTTGGATTAAAACCCAGGCAGCCTCCTGGTTCAAAGCTCTTTGTACCATAACCAGACCATAAATATTTTCTTTGCCATAATGACATCAATATATATGCTAAATGAAGCTTAAAATATAGATTTAATTTTCATTTTAAAGCCTATCTCCTGCTCAGCAGGGTTATTTCTATCTTAATAGCCAAGTTAGATCATCGCATTGTCAATCTAATTGGTCCAACCCTAACCTGTAGAGCAGGTACCAAACACAAACTCTCTCAATTGACTCAGTGGCTGCATCTGGACCATTGATGATACCAATATTATTTTATACTAAGATAATTTTAATTTTTATCAGGTAATTTATAGATATGGTTGGAAAAATCAACTATTGTGGAAAGGCTTGCCACACAATGTCCCAAACTCAGGATAGTATATCTCTTGAATGCCATCCACCTCCACTTCCCTGCACTCTCCCTCCAAGCTTTGTGTCTTTCTCTGTGGTACTCATTCTCTGACTTTTCCTTCTCTTGGGTGAAATCTGTTTCCTAGCTCTCATGTCTTCTTCTTAGATTATTTCCTTATTTTGCCAGAACTCATCTGCCCGTAAATTCTTAAGAAAGGGTTATGGAAAGTAAACTTTGTGAGCACTTGCATTTCTGAAAATATATTTATTCTACATTCACACTTGGTTGTTATTTGCCCACAACACAGACCCCCACGTCAATTTTAAGACAAGCAGGGGAAAGGGATATGTATTGGTGTGGTGTTCTGGAAAATTCCATCTGCCATAGTGAGTGAGTTAGCGACAGGTGTATTTGCCTCTTTTTTTTTCTGGCTCCTCCTTCCTTGCCCGGTCCCTGATCCCTAGCTCCATTTTTCCTGTGAGCTCCTCTATAGCCTTTAGAAATGTTGACCTTTCTGACCCCTGACCCCAGGCTCCATCCCACGCCAGCGTCAGCTTTCTTCCCCTTGACTTTCGTTTTGTACCTCACTGCTACCCTCAGCTCACGTGTCATTGACACTTTGATTGATTTGTCCGCAGGCTTTACGAAGGAGAAATCCGTGCATGCAATTACAGTAATCTAATCTAAAAGACAAGTACAACAGAGGCCATTAATCCCTCTTTGCTTGTAAAGCTTTGTGTTTCCCCTTTCCCCTCCTCCAGTCTACAGTTGTTCCTGCTGCCAAAAAACCTAAAGCGAGAGCATTCAAACACAGAAACCAAATAATTTAAAAGAAAAACGGTTTGTTTTTTGGCAGAGGATTATTTCAAATATGGAGCTTCCTTTGCAGATTGATGTGTTTAGAGACCAGTGAATAAGGGGCAGAGCTGTTTAGAGCTCAGGGATGTGAAGCCACAACCAGTAAAAGACTGAATGAAAAGACCACCCAAACATGGTATTCCTGTGAGTGGGAGTGTGCAGCTTGAGCATAGGTTAGGAAAGATATAAGGGGCCTTATATACAAGGGAAGATACAAAATAGCTGAATGTGAGAGGGAAAGGGGATTTCTTGGGCAAAAAGCTGTGTCATGACCATGTGACCACCCGACACTTCCCCACCACAGCCCCACCTCCAAACACACAAATAGTCCTGGGCTTGCTGGGCCGCCAGAACTGGTGTTGGCCTGGAAGCCCACGGCAGCAGGAGGGAGGCTGTACCCAGCATGCCTGAGAAGTGATGCCTCCTCTCTGTGGGCTGGGCTGCTCCACAGCACACGAGCCTGGGCACCAGATGCGGAACCTGGGTAAGGGAATGACTTGGAGTCATCTAAAAGAGCTCTGGTCCAAGAAAGTGGACTGCTGGAGTCAGGAATGCTCAGCAGTAAGAGTTGTGGGAATTTCCAAGAGCCGATGTTGAGGAGGGGAGTCCAGCATGGGTGGATGAAGGAGTGGCGCCCCGAAGCAGGGAAGCTCAGCAAGGGAGACTGACAAACCAACTCAAGTTCCCATGAAGGAAAGAATCTGCTAGAAGCATCTGTCAAGTCCGGAGACTTTGCCTGCCACATGTCATGAGTAAGAGCCTCCTTTCCCTGGTCTCTGTGTGCTCCTTACCCCTTCAGCATTCACCATGGAGCCACCAGAAACAGTCTGCAGGTAGCTGGAGGCAGTAGGAAGGAAAGAAGAAACTGAGCACACGCCCTCCTTAAAACTGGGCCCTCACCTGTGACCAGCCTTAGCTTAGTGGGGAGGGGGTGGGAGGTGATTAAAATGTTAATTGATATATTGGACCAAGCATTCCAGGTTGGAATGTGAGATGTATGACTTAAAGTAACCATAACATTTTGTGTATTTAGCAATGGTCACAAAGGCCATGGGCTTGCCCTCAGTTTTATCCAGAGGCAAGGGCAGTACTCTCCCCATTGTCTGAGTCATAAGGTAGAATAGGAGACAAAACAATAATATAAAGTTGCATCTTGAAAGCACCTCACTAATGACAGATCGATGTGCCACTAGTAAGTGCTTTGGGAAGATTATTCTATGCCTATACCCAGAGTACTCAACTTTTCCCTCCACCATGGTTCTTAGTAAAGATATAATGAAGCGGGAAAGAAGCAGACAGAAGGGCCAATCCAATGGTCCGTGTAGTGGCAGCTAGCCAGAGAGGGGAGAGGGGCTCAGAGATGTCAGACACGTCAGAGGTTGCGTGGGTTACAAAGAAAACGTTTGTCAGAGTTTGTGGGAAAGTTGATGATGCATAAACTATTATCACATTAGTTTATTTTAAATTTAATTAATAGATCTTAAATGGCTTATATTCTAGTTAGAAACCAATAGAAAATAATGAAAAATTTAAAACAGCCTAAATAAAACAAGGAGCAGAACTGAGTAAATCAGAGTTTATTCATACGATAGAATAACATGCAATCATTAAAAATCATGTTTTCAAAGAATATTTGATAACACGAAAAGAGTCCCTAATCCAGGGGTGCCTAGGTGGCTTGGTTGGTTAAGGGTCTAACTCTTGGTTTCAGCTCAGGTTGATCTCAGGGTCATGATCTCAGGGTTGTGAGATCGAGCCCCAAGTTGGGCTCTGCACTGGATGTGGAGCCTGCTTGAGATTCTCTCTCTGCCTCTCCCTCTGCGCCCCCCCACCGCTGCACTTGCACACTCTCTCTCCAAGAAAAAAAAAAAAAAAAAACCCCCATATAATATGTTAAAAAACTAAAAAAAGCTTTTTTTGTGAAAAAAAAAAAAAAAAAAAAGATTGATATTAGTAATTTCATATGGTTTAATCTAGGAACAAATGGGAAAAAATTGCAGAATACAAGTTGTTTATACAGTATGATCCCGATTTTGTGGGAAAAAAGCTGAATAGAAATACTGAGAGCTTTCTGGTTGCTTCGTACTTTATCATGCTGTCTTAGAATCCTCCTAGAAACCCTATGGGATCACTCTCGTTATTGTCTGCATTTTACAGGCTCAGAGGTTCTGTGTAACAAATATGACAGGTTTATAGCCTGGTTCTGACAAACCCCCGTGTTGGCGTCCCGGGATGTGGGGGCCCCAGCCAGAGAAGAAGGTAACCTGACACCCTAGGTTCCAGTCTTCACTCCTTGCCCTCAAGGGCCATTTGGGTGGTGACCAAGCACAGGCTCCTCACCTTCAGAACCCAGTGTCTGGGCGCCTCCAACTTCAGGACACTGACAAGTTACATCATGGTCCCCCTGACTTCCCCTCTTCCTTCTCTCCACTTGGCTTGCAGAGCAGAGTGGAAGGCAGTGTCCCCTTCCTGACCAGCCAGGAGTGGGCACAGGAATGCCGGCTTCATGATCTCCATGTATCCTGAGAGGGTGCCTTTTGCTGTCGCTTAGCACAGGTACCATAAAATGTTATATTCTGCCATGGAACCTTAGACAAAACTCCAGGGCACATGCATTTAACAACCCATTAATATTGTAAGAGCTAGGAGAAAATGAGGCTGGATCTAAATTCAGGTCTGCCTGGTTCCCTAATCAAAACCACGAGGAGATACCAGTTCACACCCAGTAGGATGGCTGCAATCATAAAGGCAGTAGTAAGTGTTGATGAGCATGTGGAAAAATTGGATCCCTCAGACATTGCTGGTGGGAATGTAAAATGGTACAGCCCCTTTGAGAACAGCCTGGTAGTTTCTTAAGTGGTTAAACACAGAGTTACCATATGATCCAGCAATTCCAACTTTTAGGTGTATACTCAAGGGAAATAAAAACATTTGTCCACGCAAAAACTTGCACATGAATGATCATAGCAGCATTATTTGTAATATCCAAAAAGTAGAAACAAGCCAAATGTCCATCAACTGATGAATGGATAAATAAAATGTGTTGTATCCATACAAAGGAATATTAACTGACAAATAAAAAAGTACTGATACGTGTTAAAACATGGATGAACCTTGAAAACAATTATGCTAAACAAAAAAAGATGGTCACAAAGAAACCACATATGATTCCACTTATATGAAATGTCCAGAATAGACAAATTCATAGAGACATTTATAAGCTATGTAAGAAATACGCCATATTAATGGGTAGAAAGAATCAACATAATAGAAAGGTCAGTTGTCACCAAATTCAAAACAATTATAATCCTAATCTCATTTGTTTTTTTCAGGGAACTTGACAAATCAATTCTAAGACTTAAGCAAAAGAACAGATACTCTTGAAGAAGATTAAGATGGGAAAATTTGCTTTAGATAGCAAGACTTACGAAGCTATGATAATATAAATCCCTGACGCTAAGAGCTTAAAAACTTTTAGAAAACAATGCAGGATGATATCTTTATGACCCTGGGATAGATAAGAGTTTCTTAATCAAGAGATTGTACGCCCTAACCATAAAGGAAAAGTTTGTTTGACTACGTTAATGTTAAGAACTTCTGTTAATTAAAGGACATCATGAAGGAAGTGAGGAGTCAAGCCATGGTCTAGGATATGGTAACTGCATGCATATAACTGGCAAAAGATTAACGTCTGCAATGTAGGAAGAACTCCTGTTTATTAGTAAGAAAACGACAACCCAGGGCACCTGGGTGGCTCAGTCGGTTAAACGTCTGCTTTTGGCTCAGGTCATGATCTCAGAGCCCTGGGTTTGAGTCCTGCATCCTTGGAGGTGGCCCTCATGCCTCCTCCACAAAGTAGTACTCCTTGGACATGTCAGGTGCCGGTGGAGGCTCGAAGCCCAGGGAACACTGTCTGAGAGTAGATCGATGTGTCCACTAGAACAAGTAAGAGACCCTTGGAAATGCCTTGGTGACCTCATCTGTATCCAAAACCCAGAGGATATTTATTTCTCTTTAAGAGAATGGGATTTATAAAATGCTATTTTTGTTTGTTGGTTTATTGGCACATTCTATCAGCATTAGTCATCTCTCTCTGTCTCCCTCCCTCTCTTTCTGTCTCTGCTTCCTGTCTCCCCCAATGCTGATAGGAATATTGTGCTATAGCCCTAAACATAGATCCCTATTTTTTTTTATTTTCTCTTATAGGGGTTCCTAAACATTTTTCCAGAAATAAAGGGTACAGTTTCCCAGGAAAAGTGCAAATGTGCATGGCCTTGGTTTGAACGTGACCTCTGTACCCTGTGGCTCCGTCACTCCCCCTTGGTCTGCGGAATCCACATGATTCACTTCTGTGCCTTATGCTCTTTTGTTTCCAGAGCAGTGATATGAATAAGAGGACGTTAGTGTTTTAATTGTGCCCTTTCTCTGGCATTGTGCTTCTTAACTCCAAACCCTCTAAACAAATCTCTTAAGAATCTTTACATAATTATCAGTGTTTTATATGTAAATGCCAAGGTTGACAAACTGCTCTGAGAAATTTAATTAAAAACTGAGTAAGCTTATTTGGAAATTGAGAAACAGCATTTTATTTCCTCCTAAATATATTTACCCATAAAGAGAATATAATATGATGCCACAACCCAAGAGATACAAGCACATATTAAGTGATTCTTATGGCAAAAGCTTAAGTGTATCATTCCATTCAAATTGTGCCAATCCAATCTCATTCAACAATGCAAATCTCTGTATAGCTAACAGTTGTCAAGTCCTAACAACAGTTGCTTCTGTCAAGTGATAGACTAAATATGAAGCTTTTAAAACATTTCTGAGATTGTTGCAGGTGGGTTGTCCTATACTATAAGGATTCACAGTAGTGAATCTCCAATACGCAACATAGCTTTTCGGTTAATTTTTCATAGATCAACTTGAAATGAGAGTGCCAGATCAATTCATTAAAACATTGAAGTCTCAGTGTCACCATTCAAACAATTACAGCAGGGTGTATAAACCTTGCTTTTGTAAGGTTGGATTTTTATCACAGGAAGTCTGTAGACATCCTCAGACTTTAGCAGAAAGCAATGGCTTCGTTAATTACATGAGCTCTTTTGGGCTACTTAGAATATGATTAGGTTCGTGTCTACATTATATGAACATTGATTGCTATCTAATCTCTGTGGATCTAGTGAACTAATGCTCTCATCATAAATAATACATGTGTGGTAAGAACAACTCTGATGTTAATAAGCATAATTGCTGTGGATATTTCTAATATTGAAACGTTTTGAAACTTCATCGATGATGCTGGCGATATGAGAGGATAACAAGGAGAATATACATTTCATTATACTTATACCTTTTGTTAGAGATAGCTTTTTCTTGTGGTTATTCGTCAGGGTTTTTAGTCTTTGCTCCACTACTGAACCAAAAAAGAAAAAAAAAGAATCCTGAAGAAACCAAGTGAGTTCCCAGTGGGTTGGAAGCAGAATTGTAGCCATGTTGGAATATAAAATTCAAATTCCAAAATAATATTGACAAGATGAATAGTTGGTAGGATAAGTACAATTACGTTTATTGGGAACAAGAGCATATTTTGGGTGAGCGAAAAGATCTAGGTTCTAGTGTCAGCTTGAGAGCCTTAAAAATTTACAAGGCCTTTCTCAGCCTCGGTTTCCTTACGTGAGAAGTGGTTGATTAGACCTAATAGTCTTTAATATATCTTTCCATAGGAAACATTATTTCTCTGAAATAAAAA